GCGCAACAAGAGGTATGTTGTCATGTTTGATGACGTGTGGAATGAAAAATTTTGGGATGATGTTGAATCTGCTGTAATTGATAATAAAAATAAAAGTAGAATATTAATTACAACCAGATATGAGAAGGTTGCAGACTTCTGTAAGAAATCTTCTTTTATTGTCTGTCAGAAATCTTCTTTTATTGAAGTGCATAAGCTAGAAGAACCTTTAAGTGAAGAAGAATGTTTCAGATTGTTCTGTAACAAGGCATTTAAGTATAGTTCTGATAGACATTGTCCCAAAGAACTTAAAGATATTTCTATTGAAATTGTTAGAAAGTGTAAGGGTTTACCTCTAGCGATTATGGCTATCGGTGGTCTTTTATCTCAGAAAGATTTTTGTGCAGATAAATGGATACTATTTAGTCAAAATCTAAGTTTAGAGTTGGAGAGGAATTCTGAGTTAAACAGTATAGCAAAGATTTTAAGTTTAAGTTACTATGATTTGCCGTACAATCTCAGATCATGTTTATTGTATTTTGGAATGTATCCCGAAGATTATGAAGTTAAATCTAGTAGATTGATTACGCAATGGATAGCTGAAGGGTTTGTCAAACGTGAAACTGGAAAAACATTAGAAGAAGTTGCGCAACAAGGGTTATCAGGGTTGATCCGTAGAAGTTTGGTGCAAGTGTCTTCATTTAGCATTGATGGCAAAGTTAAAGGATGTCGTGTTCATGACTTAATACATAACATGATCCTTGGAAAAGCTAAGGAAACAGGGTTTTGTCAGTTATTTGGTGAGCATAATGAATCAATGCTTAGTGGGATAATCAGACGCTTAACAATAACAGCAGATTCCAATGATTTAGTTGGAATTGAAAGATCACACATTCGGTCAATTCTGTTTTTCAAGGAAGAGTTAACTGAACAATTCTTGGGTAGAATCTTTGCCAAATGCATGCCATTGAGGGTACTTGATTTTGAAGATGCCTTGAGTGTTCCTTATTTTAAAAATGTTGTTCCATTATATGTTCTTGATGCTTTAGGCAATTTAATCCACTTGAAGTATCTAAGCTTTCGGAATTCATGTATAGGAAGTCTTCCAAAATCCATTGGTAAGCTCAAGAACTTGGAGATCTTGGATGTGCGAGGAACAAGGGTGTTTGAGATACCAAAGGAGATTAGTAAGATTAGAAAACTACGTTGTCTTTTGGGTGATAAAATATCTTTTGTTGCAACGAAAGAGTGTCTTGGAAGCATAACATTCCTGGAAAAGATACGCGTCCTCGGAGTGGTAATTAGAGAGCTAGGAAAGCTAAAGCAATTAAGGAATCTGAGGATTACTAATTTTAGGACAGAACACACAAAGACTCTATGTTCCTCCATACATGAGATGCAATTCTTGAAGGTACTACATATTCATGTAGGACATGAGAATGAAGTAATTGACTTTCCTCTTATGTCATCCTTGTCAACACTTCGGAAGCTCTTTCTAAGTGGGAAGTTAAAAATGTTGCCAAATTGGATTCCACAGCTCCAAAATCTAGTGAAATTGTCTTTGAATAAGTCTGAGTTAACTAATGATCCACTGGAATCACTAAAAGGTATGCCAAATTTGTTGTTCATCTCTATCAGCTATGGCGCTTACGTAGGTGAAACATTGTATTTTGAAGATGGAGGGTTTAGGAAACTAAAGGAGCTTGAGCTTAAATATTTGAACAACTTGAATTGCATCTTTATTGAGAGAGGAGCACTACATTCATTGAAAAAGCTTGGATTAAAGAAAATCCCAAAACTGAGGAAAGTACCGAGTGGCATTGAACACTTAGAGAAACTACAAGTTCTGAAGATCAAGGATATGCCAATTGAGTTTGATCAGAGCATTGCTAGCGATGGAGGACAAGACCATTGGATGATCCGACATGTGCCTCGTGTGCAAATTGAGGTGTCGTTTTTTGAAAGTGTGGCGAGAGCTGTGGGTATGGAGGCAAGCCCACCTACCAGTCCGTTTAGCAAGCGGTCTACACGGATACAAATTCAAATTTCTTAAATTTGTATAGTTATAGCAAAGTTCCTACTTCAGTTTGTGACGTCCACCAACTTAGGCTACAAATTAGTAACCCATTTATTAATTAGTAATTTTTATGTATTTTTATCTTAATATTTATATTAATTTTTGTGTTACAAATGTATTTATATCAATTTTTATGTATTTTTTCTCTCATATTTTTATACTTTAAAAGAAGGGAAATAAATCTCACTGATTTTTTTAGTATTTATAAAAAAAACAACTTCAGATATAATTGAGCCTACAAAGTGGTCCATTTATGCGTGGGTCGAACACGAACTAAAAAAATTAGTATATTTATTTCGTGGATCTAAATTATTTGACCTATTAAAAATGTGAAAATTTCAAATTAGAACAGTTTGTATATCCATTCCTAACTAGAGTGAGAATATCATGAATTTCAATAGTCCAATAATGTCCAGATTTCTACATAAAAAGGTTTTTATTTTTTTTGTTCTTCTTATCAATATCTCTATGGATTGATATTCTTGGCCATTATTATTTTCAATAATAAAATAATGCAATTGTTTTCTAATTTTTAAAGGGATTCCTTTACTTTTTATCTCTCTTTTTCTTCTAGTATATGCTTCATTTACTTTTTTGTATTTTACCCAAACAAGTTGGAGATAAAATGATCAAATAAGTAAAATGAAATTACAAGGTATTAATTAGTAGGAGCTGTCAACAACAACAATGGTTATTTTTTATCTTAATGTTTTTTCCCCTGATAATATGTGTTGATTGTACAGTTTTTATACTATTTTTAATAAATTTTAAGCCATTTTATTATCAAATAAATAAATTTTAAAATATTATAATAGCAGAAATTATATGCTTTACTTTCTTATATATAATTTTTCTTTTTAGATAATAAAGAAGAGAAACTAAAACTCTAATGAATATTATTAGTTTGAAGAAGAAATTAGCTTAGAGATGATTGGTGTTTCTCTTCAATTGGTCTCAATGTGTGCCTAATCTTCTACCATGAATCATAAAACTCAAGAATCTTCAAATGATGGAGGAAGAAGGAGGAGGTATGCGCTACTTTAAGTGAAGATAAGTGAAAATGTGAAGAACTTGCAACAAAGAAGAATTTCTTGATAAAAGTTCAAAAGGAAAAAAACTTCTTTAAGAGATAGAACTAGACTTTTAGAAAAGAAAACTCAATGTTATTTTTCATAAATGGCTCAAAAGTTACGAGTTACATGAGAGGAAAAGTATATATAAAGTTTGATTATCTTATGGTGCAAGCTAAACTAACATTGGTTTAGTGTAACCAAGGCTAATTAAAGTTGTAATTAAGATAACCAATTTTAGTTATATGTTTGGTGTGAGTAGACAAAGCCATATGCTTGATTGAGGTTTGTTGGAGTTTTGAATAGACAATGAGACATCTTGTCTCCTCTATGAAAGTGACATCTAACTTACTTGTCAAGTGGAGCAAGTGGACATCCAACTCATTTGGACCAAGAGTACTCCAATGAGATGTTCATGGGTCATTCAAGCCCAATAAATCTAAATCTCCTTTTTCTAGTTACACCTCTTTAAAGTACTAATTACAAAAAAAATCAATTCCTACACTACTTGACCCAAAAATACAAGATAAAAAATAAGGGAAAATATTTACAAGGAAATTATACATAGAGAAGAATGGACCAAGTAATTAACTTATAGCTCAAAAGAAGCTTAGGTCTTCTACTTTCACCACGAACACATTCTTCTTGTATCCTCCTTGACATTTTCCTTGTGATATGTCCTTTGGAAGACAATATGTCATAATCTCCTACCTCTTCAAGAGGATTTCTCCTCAAATCTATAGGTTTTTCCTCTATATCTTCATTGTCTACAAAATGAGTTAAATCACAAACATGAAATGTATTGTTAACTCCATTATCGTCGTTAGGAAAATCTAGCCTATATACATTATTGTTTATTATTTTTAGAACTTGAAAGGGATCATCTCTTCCAGGGTTGAGTTTGGACTTTCTTTGGGTTGGAAATCTATCTTTTCTTAAATGAAGTCAAACTCAATCCCTTCTTGAAAAATTATTTCTTTCCTCCCTTTGTTGTTTTCACTAATGTGGCTTAGAAATTCAATGTTGTTTATCTTAAACATTCTATGTCGACACAAGACGCGATATAAATCTTAACAACATAGAATGTTCACACATTCACTACTACAATACGCATATTTTACATCGGTTCTTTAAACTTTCCAACTTTAAACTTAGATTTTGACTAAACAATCTCCATTCGTGTGCACTTTTATCTTTCTGGGATAAAAGACCACCAATGGCCACAATTGCTAGAGGTAAACCTTTACACTTTCTAACAATTTCAACAGATATATCTTTAAGCTCTTCTGGACAACATCCATCAGAACCATACTTAAATGCCTTGTTACAGAACAATCTGTAACATTCTTCCTTACTTAATGGTTCTTCTAGCTTATGCACTTCAATAAACGAAGATTTCTTACAAAAGTCCGCAACTTCCTCGTACCTAGTTGTGATTAATATCCTACTTTTATTGTGATCATCTATCACAACAGATTCAATGTCATCCCAAAATTTTTCTTCCCACACGTCATCAAAAAAATGTGGGACTTCCGTCCAAATTTTACAAACGGTGTTAAATCATTCTCACCCATGATTTGGAATCACGGGCTTGATTCTCATGGACCTTTGCATCCAGTTGGCATCCACGTGATCAAGATTTAACACCGTTTGTAAAATTTGGACGGAAGTCCCACATTAAAGTATTTTAAAAATTGGGATTAAATTGAACTCATAAATTAAAATGAAATCAAATTAATTTTTTTTAATATTATAAGAGACTAAATTAAGATTTTAACCTTTTTTTTAATTGATTTTTTTTTAAAAAACAGTGCAATTCAATTTTAAATTTAAATTGGCTCATTATAATTTTTTTTTACACACCCTAACTTGCACAACATATCAGCCAGCAGTCCTTTTACATTGTAGGATATTGAGTACTTTTATTATACCAAAATCACTAATGTGGGTGACTACAACTGAATCCCATCAATCACTACAGTGTCCACCAGCTTGTGCTTCGTAGCTTGCATTGAAAAACCTGAACTCAAAAGTTTTAAAACAATAAGCAACAATAGCACTCATATCTACGGTACAAACCATATATAGAGCATTGGTGGTAGATTCATTACCTGCTAGCCATTGAGGTAATTTTGTGATGGTATGGATATGAAAGTTAGATGTTGTCCAATTCTGGCTTATCTTCCTATCTTGAATATTCCACCAACTGTTAAGTGATAACAAATGAATAAGATCTGATATAATACCACCAACAAATAAGGGAAGAAATTTTTTTTAAAAAGGCAGGAAGCTATTGTAATAATTTACTCACCTCTTTAACCAGTCCTTGTGCTTGCTCATAATAAGAATGGCTCGGTCCCAACCTTCAAGAATCCAAATACGCAAATCTCCCTAATCTGTTCATTTGTTCAACCATTTTTAATATAGAAAGAGAAAAATTTAAGGAGTCATTTTCCTAATTTTTCAATAGAATTCCAAAGGATTACATTTAGAAAACAATTGCATTATTTTAATATTAAAAATAATGTTTGCCTGTCGATCCATAGAGATATATATATTAAAAAGAAGGAAAAAGAAAACACCTTTTTTTTATATAGAAATCTGGATATTATTGGACTTTTGAAACTGACTCTCTCTTTGGGAAAGTCGACAAGTTTGTAATTTGTACACAGGGCACATGTTGGATCATCCAATGCTCTTGTCCTCCATCGTCAGCAATGCTCTGCTCAAATTCATATGGCATATACCTGATATTAAGAACTTCAAGTTTCGCTAAGTGTTGAATGCCATAGGGTACTGTCTTGAGATGTTGGATTTTTTCTAATTGAAGCTTTTTCAAAGAATGTAGTGCTCCTCTTCCAATAAAGATGGAATTCAATTTGGACAAATATATAAGCTCTAGCTCCTTTAGTTTTTGAAACCCTCCATCTTGAAAATGCATAGTTTCACCTACGTAAGCATGAGAACTGATAGAGAGGAACAATAAATTTGGCATATCTTCCAGTGATTCCAATGGATCATTAGTTAAGTCGGAATTCTTCAAAGATAATTTCACAAGATTTTGAAGCTGAGGAATCCAATTTGGTAACTTTTTTAACTTCCCATTTAAGCAAAGCTTCCTGACTGTAGATAGGGATGACATAAAGGGCAAGTCAATTATTTCATTGTCATCTTCTGGATAGAGTCTAATTTTTATCCAAAGAGGCTCATAAATATGTAGTGCCTCTAATTGCATCTCATGTATTGAGGCACATAGAGTGTTTGTGTGTTCTTCCCTAAAACTAGCAATCCTCAAATCCTTTAAGTGCTTTAACTTTCCTAGCTCTTTAATCACCAATCCGTCAGGATCTATTTTGAGTACACGTATCTTTTCAAGGGATGTCATGCTTCCAAGACTATCCATTACTTCAATGGAAGATAATGTATCACCCAGAAGATGGCGCAGCTTTCTAAGTTTGCTAATCTCCTTTGCTATGTAAGACACAAATGTATTTCGTACATCCAAGGTCTCCAAGTTTTGGAGCTTACCAATAGATTTTGGGAGACTTTGTATCCGTGTATACCTGAAGCTTAGATACTTCAAGTGGATTAAATTCCCCAAATTTTCAGGAACATCATACAATTGACTGAATTGAGCATAACCAAAATCAAGTACCTTCAACGGCATGTATTTTGCAAGGATTTCGCCCATCAAGTGTTCACATAAAATTTCCTTTGTGAAAATTAGAATTGACCGAATGTGTGATCTTTCAACTCTAATCAAATCATAGGAACCTGCTGTTATTGTTAAGCGTCTAACGATCCCACTTGACATTAATTGATTATGCTCATCAAAATATTGACAAAACCCTGTTTCCTTCACTTTTCTAAGGATCATGTCATGTATTAAGTCATGAACACGACATCCTGTAACTTTGCCATCAATGCTAAATGAAGATACTTGCACCAAACTTCTACGGATCAACCCTGATAAATTTTTTCTATGGCAAGTCAACATGCAACATAAAAAGTCCACTTTTTATGTCGGGTGGTCAACTCCTATCATAGTAGGAGTATGAAATATGATGATTTAAACATTAGCACCACATTCAATGATGGATGTAATCATACGCATCATAAAATATGAACCTTCACTAGCAAGTGTTATGTCACCGATCATAGAATGTGCACATTCTATGGCGGGTATGATCATATTTTTCATAGAATGTGCACTTGTTTTAATATTCTATTTATTTTTTGAATTTTTTGAAACCTGCACAACTAAAATACATTTCAGCAGACAATTCAAAACAACAAATTGTTGTTTTGTTGAATATCATATCTATTATTAAATTGAAACCCTAAACAATGTACAAATTAAACTACATAGCAAACTAAGAGAGATAGCAAGAAAACTAAAGTTAACAATAATTGTCATTAATTAATAATAATGAACAATTACTAACAATGAATCTAAAGTAAAGTAGCTAATGTACAAAAAGAAAACTAAAACAATGTACAAATATATAAATCAACCATCAAATTGACTCAAGAAAAGAAGATGTTCATCTTTTGCGAATATCTTCCATGTCTTATTATGGGCAAATGGAGTTAGTGAATATAAAACATAAACAAATTATAGTTAGAATATATTTTAATTGAACTCTAACTACTTAAATATTTAGATTCATATATTTTAACTACTTAAATATATAAACAAATTATAGTTTACAATATATTTTAATTTAGTGAATATAAAATATAAACAAATTATAGTTAAATACTTAAATATTGAGTATTTAAGTATTTAACTTATTTTAATATTATAATTTCATCTAAATTAATATATATTAAAAATTTAAAATTAATAAAGATAATTAAAACTTTAAAAAAATATTTATGCGAGATTGGAATTTTTGCTACTTTAAAAACTAGAAATTAATAATTTGTTACAATTTTTTTTATATCTTTTAGAGACACTAAAAGAGAATTTAAAAAAATCTAATTATTATTAATTTACAGTTTTACACAAAATTAATTTTTTTTAAAATAAATCATAAAATTAAATAAAAAAACACACGCAGACAGTGTCACGCACCACACACATGTACTCAGCAAAGTCAAAAATAAACGCTTGCTGTGGCAACAAAAACAAGAAAAATGGGTGTGTGGGTGGATATAACTGGGTATTGTAAAGTTTACACAAAGAACAATGAAGATGAACTTCTTTACCCGGGTCACTCGTATTTGGCTATTTGTTGAATTCAATTCTAGTGTCCAGTTAATTAATGATGCTGCAACGCTTTCGGATCTTGCCTTGTGAACCGGTTAGCACATCAATGGCTAGTGGAAGCCTTTAACAATGCAACGGATCTTGCCTTGTGAACCGGTTAGCACATCAATGGCTAGTGGAAGCCTTTAACAATGCAACGGATCTTGCCTTGTGAACCGGTTAGCACATCAATGGCTAGTGGAAGCCTTTAACAATGCAACGGATCTTGCCTTGTGAACCGGTTAGCACATCAATGGCTAGTGGAAGCCTTTAACAATGCAACGGATCTTGCCTTGTGAACCGGTTAGCACATCAATGGCTAGTGGAAGCCTTTAACAATGCAACGGATCTTGCCTTGTGAACCGGTTAGCACATCAATGGCTAGTGGAAGCCTTTAACAATGCAAACAAGAATTTTGAAATTGCATTCGAGGATCTTTGTCTAAAATTTCTATGTTCTTCTTGCTTATTTATACTTGAGTTCTGAACAACGGGTACCTATCACAAAAAATTTATAACGTATTTTTTTTCTTTTTTTTAACAAGATTATTATAGATAAAGTTGAGATATATATCAGAACATATCTGTATCAGTTATGTATCCGATACGGATACGGGATTAAAAATCATGTATCTGTGCTTTTGAGTTCAACAGCAATAGTTGTCACTTTTTGTTGTTAATAATCTCGCCATTATAATGCTTTGAACTAATATTGTGCTCTTAGTTGGTAGGTACTGATTTTGAATTGGATTAAACTTTTTATTCCTGGTTGATAAAAGTGTCGTGAAGTTTGTTTTAAATTTTCATTTTTTTTTTATTGCGTTTTGCTTCATTCCACTTGGTGGTATTGCTGATGGTAAATATCATACATTTAACATTCATATAAGATGCAATTTATGATATCTAGTTTGGTCGTAGGCTGCATTATATATGTAGTTTAGACTTGACAATATATTTCTATCTCAATCAGGCTTGTGTCACATTTAAGGATTTTTGGACGTATAGAACATTCTAACCTATGGTGCCTATAAGGTTATAACTAGTGCAGCCCCTTGGTGTTGATGCAACTCTAAAGCAATAAAGAAATAATGGCAAAGGTTTTGATATAAATGTAGTCCTGTGGAATTCTAATGAAAATCTTGGGAAATGACTCCTCAATTTTTTCTTTCTCTCTATATTACAGGTTAGAGAATATATTAGAAAAGGTTGAACTCAACAGAATAGGGGGAGTTGTGTACCTTGATTCTCTAAGGTTGGGACTGAGACATTCACATAAGGTACTAGCATAAGTAAGGGCTGGCTAAAGAGGCAAGTAAATTCTTACAATAGCTTCCTACCCCTCTATTTTTTCTTCTTATATTCTGGTGGTATTATACAAGATCTTATACATTCGTTATCTAATCACTTTGTTTCTGGCATTAACAACGGTGGATTCAAGATAGGAAAAGTAATCATTTTGTTTTTGGGCAGATAGCAAATCCATTGTTAGTGAAGGTGCTATGGTAGGAGGTAAACGAGTTGGTGGATTTCAAGATAGGAAGAGAAGCTAGGGAGTTTCATACATCTAAGTTTCATCCATACTTACCATCACAAAATAACCATCCATGCTTACCATCACAAAATTACCAGTGATACAGATATGAATGCAACTGCTACTTAGATTGTTTTAAAGCTTTTGAGATCAGGTTTTTATCTACAAGGAACAATTCATTCGATAAGTGTTGTTGGTTTCCCTTATAGGTGGGATAAATGATACTTGATAAATGTCATTTATATAGTATTTTTTTTATCATATAATTGTGTTTTAATTTTAGTGATTTGTCTGAATATGTTGTTTAAGTATGTTATAATGATGTTAATATTGGTTTATATAGTTACTTATATAATTTGTGTGTTGTAGGTTTCTAAGAGAAAAAATGAAGTAAATTAGATGAAAAAGGTATGAAGTTGAGAATCTATCAGCTTAGTGCACTAAGATCTGAGGTTGGACGTTAGGAAGTCAGAGAGCAAAAGAAGTTTTCACATATGTCAAGGTTGAGTGTCCGACTTAGACACTAAGCATTGATGTCGAGCGTCAATGTTGAGACTCAACACCAAACCCCTTGGAAGGAGTAATTTTGTTTGAAAAGTGGTGCTCAACACCACTTTATTCAATGTTAAGCTCTAGATGTGTAACTAATTCTAAATGTAATAATTTTAGACAAATTTTAGGTAGTTTTTTTGGGAGGGTTAGAAACCTTCGGATAGAAGTTCAGGGATAGGAAATCGGATATTTAGAAAACTTTATGTTGGTCCTTCCATTCTTTTAGCTAGCTTTGTTTGCCTTCTTAATTATGTTTAGGAGTACCTAAACTCTATTCTTATTGGAGTTAGTTGGAAATACTCATTCTCACATATTTCTTTTGATAAATAAATGCATGTTTTGTATTTCTTTGTGTTTACTTCTACAATTTTTATTTGCAATTTTTATTTCTTTATGGTTTGATCACCCATGATGAATTATAGATTGAAAATTTAATTGAGAAATTGGTTTTTGTTCGGAACTCAATTAAACACTTAAAATTATGTAATTGTCAAAAATAGGATAAGTGATTTTATCATTTGAAATTCCTTTAATTTAATGCAATTTTTCTACTTAAGTTACTAAGATATTATGACATACAAAAATCTTAGGCCTTTGTAAATTACAATTAGGGTAAAATGATAATAGAAAGATAATAAAAACATGATTTATTAATTCTTAGTTATATTGAGATCGTTGTAGTTACAATCTAATCCCAACATATTTTAATCCATCCTCAATTATGCTCTTGCATACCATGTAATTGATTAAATATCCTTTCATAGTTTTAATACATTTTACATCAAACTCAATTTTACTTTCGCATAATGATGAATATGAGTTAATTATACTAGATATTAAAGCAAGTTCTATTGGAAAGATTATTTACTCATACCGTGGCAAATGTTCAGCTGACAATGAATCGGCTGGAACAAATTGGACCAAAGCTTCCTGTGGAGATGAACTGTGATTTATTTTATTCAAAGTTGCTTAGCTTCTCATACCTGGCGTACCTCACAGTTTTGCTTTCCTTTTTTTTTTTTTTTTTCTTTTTCTGAATAATTGTTTGTTTTCTCTAGAAAGCTTGAGCTGTAGAATATTCTCACGAACCATTGCAGTATTTCCAGGTTTTATAGTTGACGTTTGGCATGTGTAGTACCAAAGTTTTGATTGCATGCAAAATGTATCTTAGGATACAGCTGTTGTCACCCACATTTGTGATTTGGATATATATAAAATAAAAGGAAACGAGCGTTCTCTAGCTAATTGTTATATCCAAGGTCCTAACTCTAGTGAGGTTTATTTTCAAACTTCAGTTATTTTTATTTTTGTCATCAACTAACATTTATGGTTATTTTTTTCATTAATCATTGTTCTAAGCTTAAATTTTTGTCATTGGATGCCATCCTTCCCACTTACAATTACAAACATTTGATTAGTTTGACTTTATAGTTTTACTGACAAGCATTGCCTACGTTCTCCAAAAACCATTATGGTTTAATTACATTAACAGATCACCAAAATCACAATATTCACAATCACCTAAGATAATTAATATATCATGCATGCTTATAAATTGTGGTTTTCGCAATTTTAATTGGTGTAATCTTTGAAAAAAATTATAGGAAATTGCAATTGATGCGGTCGCAATTACAGTTAAAATGAGTAAAAAAAATAAAATAAAATAACATCGCAGTCGCAACTGTGATTGCGAACTACAATTTAAAACTATGGTATCACACTTTTATGATACACGGAATCGAATTTGTAATCCAAAATCATAATCTATTTTTGTGTTTAGATGTGATGATTTTTTACAAGATGAGTTAATAAAATTTAGGATTTAACTCTTTTAAATTGAGGAGATTGTATTTTAGAAGATAGTATAATAATACCATTATGTATTTAATTTTATCATAATTTTCTATCATTAAATTTTTAACCAAAAGTTATTATTATACTTTATTTTATAATGAATATCTTTCACTTTAGGTGAGACAAATCTTAAAATTTACTGTATTATACTCTATCATGTAATTTTTATAAAACTCAATCAAAAGTATATATTTTTAGTCTTCAAATAAAATTTTATTATATTGATTATTTTTTTGTAAAGCCTAATCTAAATTAAAATTATTTTTCTTAATTTAATAAGCAATTAACACAATAAACATCTCATCAGTACTAGAGGTAGTTCTGAAAAAAAAAAAAAAATTAACACAATCAAGGTCCATTTTCATTCATCAAATAGAAAATCTGTCAACTAGCTGTATCCAAGTTGCTGAATAAATTCTAAAGAATGGATTGAGAAAGGGAAACTGATCAAACGTGACCAGACATGGCTATATTATATATATAACCTTGAAGAACAGGAAGTTTTTGGCTCACAATAGATCTAAATACAGAACACAGTCACCACAGAGAGCTAGACTAATATGTGGGATATTGTAATGTCCGTGGCTCGTTCGTATTTGCTTCCACTAGCAGTGGAAGTATTCAACAAGGTGAGAGGTGTCCCAAAAGATGTTGCAGACATCGAAGAGGAACTGAAACGCATTCAAACTTTCATCAATGATGCAGATAAAGAAGCTGCTAGTGATGAAACTAACGACGATATCCAAGAAAAGTTGAAGCAGCTGAGAGAAGCAGCCTTCTGCATAGAAGATATCATCGATGAATACATGATCTGTGATGAAAAGAACCCTCTTGATCCTGGGTGTGCAGCTTTACCCTGTGAGCCTGTTGACTTCATCAAATCTCTGATCCTTCGCCTTCAAATAGCGAATAAGATTCACGATGTCAAATCACTTGTTCAAGGGATTGAGGGAAAAGATGGTCTCCAAAGCCGTTTTCCTTTGGAACAAAGACCAAGTAGTTCTAGAGGAAATCCAAATGTCATATGGCAAAACCTTCGGTTGGAACCTTTGTTTACCAAGGAAACTGAGGTTGTGGGCATTGATGGTCCTAAAGATAAATTGAAAGATTGGTTGACAAAGGGAAGAAAACAGTGCACTGTTATATCTGTGGTTGGAATGGGAGGACTAGGAAAAACCACTCTTGCTAAACAAGTTTTTGACAACAAGGAGATCGTTGGACACTTCGATTGCCACGCATGGATCACAGTGTCTCAATCCTACACTGTAGAAGGATTGTTGAAGGATATGTTGACTGAGCTTTGCAAAGACAAAAAGAAGAACCCTCCTCTAAATATTTCTACAATGGATGAAACGTGGCTGAGAAATGAAGTGAGACGCCACCTGGACAAAGAGAGGTATGTTATCGTGTTTGATGATGTGTGGAATGATTATTTTTGGCATGAAATTAAATTTGCTTTAGTTGAGAATAACCAAAGCAGTAGGATATTAATCACAACCAGGTACGATAGGGTTGTGGAGTGTTGTGTGAAAAACTCTTCTTTTCAAGTGCATGTGCATAAGATGGAGCGTTTAAGTGATGAAAAGTCTTTGGAATTGTTCTATAAGAAAGCATTTCGTAGTGATTCTAATGAACATTGTCCGGAACAGCTTGTAGATGGGGAGGTACTTCGTAATGATTCTAATGGATGTTGTCCAGGAGAACTTGTAGATATATCTCTTGAAATTGTTAAGAAGTGTGATGGTTTGCCTCTGGCCATCGTGGTCATTGGTGGTCTTTTATTTAGAAAAGGAGAAGATGAATGGAAAATGTTTTGTCAAGATCTAAGTTTAGAGTTGGAGAGCAATCCCGAGTTAGATAGTATAAAAAAAATTTTGAGTTTAAGTTATAATGATTTGTCTTACAATTTCAAATATTGTTTATTGTATTTCGGAATGTATCCCGAAGACTATGAAGTTAAATCCAATAGATTGATTAGGCAGTGGATAGCAGAAGGATTTGTCAAAGTTAAAGAGGGGAAGACTTCAAAAGAAGTTGCCCAACAATGTTTAGCTGAGTTGATCAATAGAAGTTTGGTGCAAGTATCTTCATTTACTATTGATGGCAAAGCTAAAAGTTGTCGTGTTCATGACTTAGTTCGTACGATGATCCTTGGTAAAATCAAGGATATGGGGTTTTGTCAATTTGTTGGTGGGCATCAACATGATCAATCAATGTCAAGTGGAATAAGTCGGGTTATTATAGGTGAGCAAGATCAATCAGTGTCGAGTGGGATCATTCGGCGCCTAACAATAGCATCGAGTTCCAATGATTTAGTTGGAGGTATCGAAAGCTCACACATTCGATCAATTTTATTTATCACTGATAAAATATCTGAACAGTTCATCAATAAAATCCCTGCAGAATACATGCCACTGAAGGTACTTGATTTTGAAAATACTCGATTATATTGTGTTCCTGAAAATTTGGGAAATTTAATTCACTTGAAGTATTTAAGCTTTAGGAATACTAGAGTGAAAAGTCTTCCAAAATCCATTGGTAAACTCCAGAACTTGGAGACCTTAGATGTTCGGCAAACAAGTGTGCTTGAGATGCCAAAGGAGATTACCAAGCTTAGAAAGCTACGTCATCTTTTGGCTAACATGATATATTCCTTTCACTTGAAGGATAGTCTTGGGGGTATGATAGCCCTACAAAAGATATCTACCCTCATAGTAGATTATGATGGAGTGGTGATTGGAGAGCTTGGAAAGCTGAAGCAATTAAGAGATCTAAGCATTACCAATTTTAGGGGAGAACATGGAAACACTCTATGTTCTTCAATACATAAGATGCAACTCTTGGAGAAGCTATATGTTGATACAGATGATGACAATGAAGTAATTGACTTGCACATTATGTCATTCCCATCTACAATTAGGAGGCTTTGCTTGCGTGGGAAGTTAAAGAAGTTTCCAAATTGGATTCCAGGGCTCAAAAATCTTGTGAAATTGTCCTTGATGTGCTCCAGCTTAACTGATGATCCATTGGAATCACTAAAAGATTTATCAAGTTTGTTGTTTCTCTCTATTAGCCATCGTGCTTATGAAGGTGAAACTTTGCATTTTGAAAATAGAGGGTTTCGGAGACTGAAAGAACTAGAGCTCAAATACTTGTATAACTTGAAATCCATCATTATTGATAGAGGAGCACTGCAATATTTGGAAAAGCTTCAGTTATCTGAAATTCCTCAACTCAAGACAGTACCCTCTGGCATTCAAGACTTGAAGAAACTTGAAGTTCTCAATATCTGGTTTATGTCAAGTGAATTTGAGCAGAGCATTGCTCCCAATGGAGGACAAGAGCACTGGATCTTCCAGCATGTGCCCCGTGTAATACTATTGGCGGGGTTGGTGTAGATATTTTGTAGAATTCCAACAGAAATCATCATCACAAAGCCTCCAACTTTGGAAATAAAAGGTGTGTCTTTTCTCTTATTAATATCTCCATCAAATGATATTCTTGGTACTTATATAAAAATTGCAACCATTTTGTGATTCCTGAAATGATTTCTTTATCTTTTGCCTTCCATTTTCTTATAGAACTTGTTTTATTTTTCTTGATTTCTTTGCACTGCTGTTAGGGATAACATTGCCTAATATATGTATACGTAATTAGGAATTATAAATTACTGGGTCTCAATTAACTAGTTTAATTTATTTTTATTTCCATCATGAGAAGTATCATAAAAGACATTTTAATTGTGTGATTTAGAAAAAGAAATGTCTAAAATAGAATTCTGATCCTTCTTTTCGATTTGGTTTCAAGTTGGTCCTCAATTTAAAAAGTTTTGATTCAAGTTCCTCAGATCAATTTATTAGAGTATATATATTTTGCGCAAATCTACTAGGATTTTAGTGCTCCAGTATGATTGCAGTGATTTATAGAGCAGATTCATAGATTGTGTTCATGATTTTATTGCTTGAAATTCACTTTGTATAATCGTGAATTTTAGGAAAACAATGGAGAACTATAGAGGTGTTTCCAATGTAATTGATCTCAGACTCTGTTACCATGAAGTCAGAATGATGCCTCGCTGGTGGTTTACCGAGTGTTACAATGTTCATTTTAGCATTATTAAAAACAACACATGTGAAAACTATAAAGAGCATTCCCACTAAGATGCTCTCTTTCTTGCAATCATTAAAGTGGAGGATCTATGAATTTGAGGCATCAATGTGCAAGATTCATCTTTTCATATGGATTTTTCTAAGCTTAAATGCTTAATTCCTTCTCTCTTTCTTGTTTTTTCTTTTCCTATTGCGTGTACCTCAATTTCTGTACTTTGGGGACGAGGAATCCAACCCTAACTTGATGTAATATGAGTTCTTATCTTTAATTATATAATGAGTTGCTCTTATATACGAAGGTTGTTCGAGAAACTCACCCTTGCACTTTTGATATTGAATTTTCATAAGAGTTGTTAGTCATATAACTTCTGTTGTGATATGATTTCTTTAATTTTTGGCACATCTTCTGTATTGAGTGCAAATTGTAAAATTATCATTTTTGTTACAAATAATTCTTGCATTTCAATTTGTGATCCAAATAGTAATAGAATGGAGAGATTGATAATTGAATTTCAGTCTTCAAAGTAACGACATCCGACATATATCTTTACTACTTAGAATATATAATATATTTATGTACAATGTTAATTACCGACATATATATTTTGTTTATATATTTATTTATAATATAAAAGTTGAACTATGAATTATTATCTTAACATGCCGTTATAAAACTAATTTGTCACATTAATATATTTTTTACCTATCAACCTTGTTTATTCTTTCATATTTCTCATATAATTGTTGATTGTAATCACTATTTTTTTTCCTTCTAAAAGTTATAAATAATTCATTTTTGACTCATTGTCAATGTGTATAAGAAATTCTAAATTTTATTATATATATCTTTCTCTTACAAAAAGCTCTACACAATTAATTCTTTTTCATTGTCAATTTAAATATAAATTTTCCTTATTTTTTTTACTACTCAAAATTTTAATCCTGATTTTGACGTTACAATTTTTGCTATAGAAATTGAAGGTGATTTCACGATTCTTTCTCTCTTATTTCACTTTTTATATATCTTTTTTCTTTTTTTTGTGTTAATTTTTCTCTAATTTAAATGTTCTAAATTTTCATATTCATCTTATATTTGCAATTCTCATCTTTGTCAACGTATATAAGGGATTTTACATTCTATTATATATTTCTTTTATTAAAAGCTCTATACGATTCATACTCTCTCAGTGACCTAAATTTTCCTCTTTTATGTGATTACTCAAAATTTTAATTCTCATTTGACAATGCAATTTTCACTATAGAAATTCAAGGTGACATTCACAATTCTTTCTCTTATTTTGTTTTTTTTCCCTTCTTTTTCTCGTGTTAATTTTTATCTAATTCAAATGTCATACATTTTAATATTCATCTTATATTAATATTCTCATTAGAATTTGAAGATGATATTCATAATTTGACGTATAACAAGTGATAGTTTTATCTCACTATTCATAAGATTTTATTTTTATCCCATATTTTGGAGGCCTTTTGTAAAAAAAGAATTAATACTTTTTTGTTGTATTTCTCTTTATTATCTACTTCGACTTTTTAGGCTTTGTAAAGCTATGTCTCTAAATAATTTGAGTTTTTATGATATTTTATATTCTTCATAGATTATTGAAAAATGGTGACAAACAGACGAATTGTGTTGAAAATAAAATAATATGCAATTAAGTTATCTCCAAATCTATCTTTAATTTGAGCCTCAAAATTTTCATATTATTTCCTTTTAATTTTCACATGATAATTAGTTTCTATTTATATCAAAATCAATATTCATCCATGTAATTAAAACAAAACAAATTAATTTTTATTTGATAAATTAAGCATAATATTTAATAATTTTTATTGGGTTAATTTTTCAATAATTGATATATTAATCAATTTTTTTAATAATTAGAATAACATAACTAACAGGTTTTTAAATAAAAATAATCTATAAAATATATAAAGTGATAAAAAAAGATACATGTATAAGACATCTTCAAAACCTTCTATATGTTATATTTATAATAGAAAAGTTGTTTCTCAAAATCATTTAAGATCAAGGCAATCAATCTATAAAATAGGATAAAATTAACTCTTAGGAAACCAAATAAAAAAGGATATAAAAGAGATCCGATCAACAAAAATAAATAGAATATTTATTTAATAAAAAATAAAAAATAAATATTTTAATTTTTGAAGATATCACTAAAAAATATACAACAATATTTATGCAAGTCTGTAGTAAGAGAAGGACTTCTGGTTTCACTTACCCATTCTTTAATATTTATTCAGAGTTGGATATATAGCAAATTTGTTGACTTGTATTCCATTATTATTTAAATAGACCACGCTTGGCACATGTCATTGTAGTATTTATTTCATTATTTAAACATCACTTAATAATGGTTTTTGTCAGAATATATTTGACGTACATGAGCTGCACTAGTTTCTGACACTTTTTTGCTTAGAAAGGCTTCAACATACACAAAATACCAAGTCAATTTTCCTATTCAATAATTCTTATCATTCTCCCTCAGTTTTACTCTACCATATTTATTCGTTTACAATGGGAACGTGCATGGTTGCCAGTACCCAATTTTTAAATAAGTTGCACATATATATATATATATATATATAATATAGATGAATATCATCTCATCTGATAAAAAGTCAGATCATGGTTCGATTTGAATCTCTTTAAATACAGTTTCAAATCTGATTCAATGTACCACCAAAGTATGAAAATTAATTATTGTAGAGCAAGTCGTGAAAATATTGTGATATAGCTAATCTGATGGTGCAATTAAACAATAATGTTAGTTATATTAATTGTATACAGAGAACGTGCTTGGTGCTTGTCAGTATTATTTTTTCTGACAACCAAATTTTATGTTGTCTCTCTGGCTTTTATGAGTCGAATGAGAATCAAAAGAAGTCTTGGTCATTGAAGCTCGAGTAGAACGCGCGCAAAGGATATGTTTGGATTAGAACTTATGTTACTAGTATTTGTCTGAAAAGATATATTTACGATTTTACTTTTAAGTAATAATTAAAAGTCGTTTCAATTATTTAGAGTATATGTGCTTTATATATTATTGAAGATTTTTCTTTATCATATTTTAAGTTCCTTTTTCCATCTTGGTGCCTATGGTGGTTCCTATCTTGGTACCATTGAGGTTGCAATGTCTGTGATACATTTATATTACATATATATAACAAAAATAACAAAATAAAGCATCAATTACATAAATCCAAACTAAAGAATTATAAACAACAGAACAACTTGATAATCAATCAATCATAACCAGTATATCAATTAATGAAGCGAAAAGGGAGATAAAGATAAAGTCGTAGATGAAGATGAATAAGAGACCACAAAAGATGTTGTTGGGATACAAGTAAAGTTGCACAACATTCAAATAATAGGATGAAAATGAGTTTATATACACACAATTATCTCTATTGGTAAAGAGACTTTTTGCGATGATATCAAAAAGTAAAATCGTGAAGGTTGGACCTAAAACGAACAATATTTCACTAACATGAAAACATATGTATGTGTGTGATAATTTCCGGTGCACATTAAGTAGTATCAGATGAAAGGTATAAAATATGAGAAACTAGGTTGAAGAAAATATAAGTAATCTGTAACCTAATTAATCATTTATTGAGTGTAAATTAAGAATAAATGCAATTAAGAGAAAATTTCTAAATTAAAATTTATAAAAATTCTCTAAAGATTTAATTTTAAAAAATTATTCTGCTAAAATCTTAATCATAAAAAATATATTAAAAAATATAATTTATTCAAAATTTTACATTTCAGTCACAATTGTGGTTGGTAGCTACAATTTTAAAGTATGGTATCACACTTTTATGATACATGGAATCGAATTTGAAATCCAAATCGAATCATAATCTATTTTTGTGTCTACATGTGATAGTTTTCTATGAGGTGAGATAATAAAATTTACTCCTTTAAAGTGAGAATATTTTATTTTAGAAAATAAAATATAATAATAATTATTAATTAAAAAATTATTAATAGATATTACACTTAATTTTAAATTTTATTATACGTGTATTTAATTTTATACATTTCTCTATCATTAATTTTTTAATCAATGATTATTATTATATATTATTTTTTGAAAGACATTCTTCACTTTAAAGGAGTTAAATCCTAAAATTTATCATATTATACTCTATCATGTAATTTTTATAAAACCGGATCAAAAGTATATATTTTTAGTCTTCAAATAAAGTTTTTATTATATTAATCATTTTCTTATAAAAACTAATCTAAATTAAAATTATTTTCTTAATTTAATTAGTAATTGATACAATAAACATCTCATCGGTATTAGAGATAATCTTGAAAGAAAAAAAAAAAACACAATCAAGGTCCACTTCATTCATCAAATAGAAAAAATTGTAAATTAGCTGTATCCAAGTTGCTGAATAAATTCTAAAGAATTTATTGAGAAAGGGAAACTCAAATGTGACAAGACATGACTATATTATATATAACCTTGAAGAACACGAAGTTTTTAGCTCACAATAGATCTAAATACAGAACGCACTCACCACAGAGCTAGACTAATATGTGGAATATTGTAGTGTCCGTGGCTCGTTTGTATTTGCTTCCACTAGCAGTAGAAGTATTCAACAAGGTGAGAGGTGTCCCAAAAGATGTTGCAGACATCGAAGAGGAACTGAAATGCATTCAAACTTTCATCAATGATGCAGATAAAGAAGCTGCTGGTGATGAAACTGACAAGCACCAAGCACCAAGCATGTTCTCCATAACATATATTATTGTTTAATTAATGAATTAACAGATTAGCTAGATCACAATATTTTCACGACTTGACAATAGTTAGTTTTTACAAACCAAAATCTGACATAGGAGATGATATTCAACTATATTATTTGTGCAAGTTATTCAAAATTGGGTGGCGTGCATGATATGCAATGGATATTGTGACAACTAATTAGCATTACAAAATTGCAAATTTAGTACTGTCATGCACGTTCCCACGAGTGCGTGAAACTAGCGCAGCTCATGTAAGTCAAACTACCATGTGTTTTTGGACAAGTGGACGATACTTTAATTTAGCCGAGCCAAATATATTGTGACTAAGTGATGTTTAAATAATCAAATAAATATTACAATGACAACTGACAAGCGTGGTCCATTTAAATAATTGTCGAATACAAACCAACAAATTTGCTATGTAGTATAAATATTAAAGAATGGGTAAGTGAAACTGAAAGTCCTTCTCTTATTATAGAATTGAATATATAATCTTAAAGAACATAAAGTTTTGCAATCATCACAAACACAACGAAAAAAGAGAGCTAAACTAAAATGGCAGAAACTGCACCGTCCTTGGCCGGTCAGTATTTGCTTCCTAAGATTTTGGAAGCTTTGAAAATGCTTAGAGATCTCCCAAAAGAAGTTGCAAACATTACAGAAGAACTTGAGAGCTTTCAAGATTTCATAAATGATGCAGATCAAGTGGCTGAAGCTGAAGAAGATGATGGTAGGCGTGATAGAATCAAAAAAAGGGTGATGCGGTTGAGAGAAGCAGCTTTCCGCATGGAAGATATCATCGACGAATTCTCGATTCATGAGGAAAACAATCCTCACGATCCTCGATGTGAAGCTTTACTCTGTGAGGCTGTTGAGTTCATCAAAACTCGGATCCTTCAACTTCAAATAGCATATAAGATTCAGGATGTGAAATCACTTGTTTGTGCTGAAAGAGATGGCTTCCAAAAGCAATTTCCTTTACCAACAAAACCGAGTGGTTCTAGAGGAAATCAGAATGTCACATGGCACAAGCTTCGAATGGATCCTCTCTTTATTGAGCAAGATGAGGTTGTGGGCTTTGAGAGTCCAAGACGTACATTGAAGAATTGGTTGATAGAGGGACGAGAAGAGCGCACTGTCATCTCTGTTGTTGGTTTGGCAGGAGTTGGAAAAACCACTCTTGCTAAGCAAGTTTTTGACAATGTCCATAACAACTTCGAGTGCCATGCATTGATCACAGTGTCTCAATCCTACACTGTAGAAGGACTGCTGAGGGATATGTTGCACCAGCTTTGTAAAGAAAACATGGAGAATCTTCCTGCAGATGTTTCTACCATGGATCGACGATCGTTGCTTGAAGAAGTCAGAAAGCAGTTGCACAACAAGAGGTATGTTGTCATGTTTGATGACGTGTGGAATGAAAAATTTTGGGATGATGTTGAATATGCTGTAATTGATGATAAAAATAAAAGTAGAATATTAATAACATCCAGAGATGAGAAGGTTGCAGACTTCTGTAAGAGATCTTCTTTTACTGAAGTGCATAAGCTAGAAGAACCTTTAAGTGAAGAAGAATGTTTTAGATTGTTCTGTAACAAGGCATTTAAGTATGGTTCTGATGGACGTTGTCCAGAAGAACTTAAAGATATATCTCTTGAAATTGTTAGGAAGTGTAAAGGTTTACCTCTAGCAATCGTGGCCATCGGTGGTCTTTTATCTCAGAAAGATTTTTGTGCAGATGAATGGGTACTGTTTAGTCAAAATCTAAGTTTAGAGTTGAAGAGGAATTCTGCGTTAAATAGTGTAGCAAGAATTTTAAGTTTAAGTTATTATGATTTGCCGTACAATCTCAGATCATGTTTATTGTATTTTGGAATGTATCCTAAGGGCTATGAAGTTAAATCTGATAGATTAATTAGGCAATGGATAGCTGAAGGGTTTGTCAAATATGAAGGGGGAAAAACTTTGGAAGAAGTTGCACAACAATATTTATCAGAGTTGATCCATAGAAACTTGGTGCAAGTATCTTTATTTACCATTGATGGAAAAGTTAAAAGATGTCGTGTTCATTTCTCATTACGTGACATGATCCTTGGAAAAATCAAGGACAGATGGTTTTGTCGGTACATTGATGAGCATGATCAATCAATGTTGAATGGGAGCATTCGACGCCTAACAATAAAAACAGGTTTCAATAATTTAATTGGAAGAAGCATAGAAAGATCACACATTCGGTCAATTCTAATTGTCACAGAAAAAGGATTATCTGAACATTTCATCAATAGTATCCCTGAAAAATACATGCTACTAAAGGTACTTGATTTTGAAGATGCTCGATTATACCATGTTCCAGAAAACTTGGGAAATTTAATCCACTTGAAGTATTTAAGCTTCAAAAACACACGAGTACAAAGTGTTCCAAAATCCATTGGTGAGCTCCAGAACTTGGAGACCTTGGATGTACGACAAACACGTGTCTTTGAGATGCCAAAGGAGATCAACAAGCTTAGAAAGCTGCATCATCTTCTAGCTAACTATATATCTTCAATTCAATTGAAGGATAGTCTTGGAGGCATGACATCACTAAAAAAGATACCTTCACTGATAATGGATGATGATGGAGGGGTGATTAGAGAGCTAGGAAAGCTGAAGCAGCTGAGGGGTCTAAGCATCACTCATGTAAAGGGAGAACATGGAAATGCTCTATGTTCATCAATAAATGAGATGCGTCTCTTAGAGAAACTACATGTTGATACAATAGATAAGAAAGAAGTAATTGATCTTCACTTTATGTCACCCTCATCAGCACTTAGGAAGCTTTGCCTGAATGGGAAGTTAACAAAGTTGCCAAATTGGATTCCACAGCTCCAAAATCTTGTGAAGTTGTCCTTGATGTGTTCCAACTTAACTTATGATCCATTGGAATCACTAAAAGATTTGCAAAGTTTGTTGTTCCTCTCTATCAGCCACCGCGCTTTTGAAGGTGAAACTTTGCATTTTCAAGAGGGGTGGTTTCTAAGACTTAAGATACTAGAGCTCAAATATTTGTATAACTTGAATTCCATCATTATTGATAGAGGATCACTGTTTTCCTTGAAAAACCTCCAGTTATCAGAAATACCCCAACTCAAGGCAGTACCATATGGCATTCTACATTTGCATCGACTTGAGGTTCTGGATATTTGGCTTATGCCAACTGAATTTGAGCATAGCATTGCTCGCAATGGAGGAAAAGAGCATTGGATCATCCAACATGTGCCCCGTGTACGTATTATTAGCCGAGTTGGTGCAGAAATTTTGGAAGAACTCTACAAAACAGCATTTGAAACCATGAAGCGTCCAACTTTCGAAATAAAAGGTGTGTTTTCTTATTAATATCTCTATATATAGAATGATAGGCTTGGCCCTTATCCTTTTCAATAATAAAAAATGAAATTGTTTTCTTTTTCCTAAAATGATTTCTCTGCTTTTTCCACCTATTTTCTTAATATATATATATGCCTTATTTTTCTTCCTCTACATCTCTCATAGGGGCTAGTAATCAAATTGTCTGATAAGTAATTTAAAAGGTCCTGGAACGAGCCTTTAGCAGCAATAATAGCCTTGTTTTGTTATCAAGAGTCTCGCGCCATTATAATGCTTTTTTCATTTTTCCTTCTAATATTGTGCTATGAATTAGTACTTACTAGGTCTTAACTGTTTTTTTTCCTTCATGTTGGACACATAATAATACTACAAATATATGTAGATTTTTAGTTATTTTTTGGAAAACTATAAAGGAAAATTGAAGGTTCATATTCATAGTTTATTTATGAGATTCAAATGCATATTTTTTTTAAATGATTGATTGAATTTGACATGTAATATTTGATGCAGAAATTTCTAAATTTTTCACCCAGCGCTTGGACCCAGAGCTAAGCGCCAAGATGAATTCCTAAGTTCCAGGACCCAGCGCCAGTGAGACACTATTTTGGAGTGGCAAGTGCCACCAAGTCAAAGTGATCAACTCATTTTGCAATTAAGGGTTTATTTTGAATCTTTTGATCAAAAGAAATGGCCTTGTGGAAGCCTAGCAATGGACACAGAATGAACTGAAGTTTAGAGAGCTGTGAAGCATTCTTGGAACTTCCAAGTCCTTAGGATATGATTTATAGCAGCTATGCATTTTATCCATTCTATATTTTCTTGTTTTGTATTCCTTTTACCATGTATATCTAAGCCCTAGGGTGGATAAACCTGAATTGTGTACTAGTGTAATATAAAGTCATTTTTTTAATGAGTTAATCACCTATATACTGTTAGTGTAAAGTTTTTTTTACACTGGTAACTAATCATATTTTTTAATAATGATATGTCAGTTGCTTATTTAATAAAATAAAATAATTTAAAAGATATGATTAATTGTTAATGTACAAAACTTTACACTGACAGTGTATGGATGATTAACTCTTATTTAATACAACAGTAACCCTGATCATGGATTGGAGGGACAACCGTCCACGGCCTCAATCTTGGAGAGACACAAAATTTAGTCTATATAATAAATAAATAAATATATATATATATATATCATTAAAGTATATTTAAAAATATTATATAAAAAATAAATTAAATATGAATAACTAATTAATTGATAGATGATTTTCCTTTCAAGAAAAATATACTCATAATTTTAGAAAAATCAATAAAAAATGTTGACATAAAATCATAAATAGAACTTGTCTAAAACTTATTATTTTCTTTTTATATTTAAATTTTATGATTCTCTTTTTATTTTCATCTTCTCTTATTTCGCTAAAATTTTAAAATCAAATTACGAACTTTTACTTTTTAGTTATCATTAACTTTTTTTTGTGATGTGTCACTATTATTATCAATCTTTATTTCCATTATATAGTTATTTTTAAGAATAATTCTTAAACTCATACAAAACCAACATACCATAAATTTAATCATTTTTTATTTAGCAAATATGTGTATAATAATTTGTCATTACATATTTAAATTTAAATTTGAGAATTGAAGTTGCAGATAATATTTAAATAATTTATAAAGATTATCTTTTTTTATTCACCAATGACATAAAAAAACAATCATAACTTATCATGTAAGACGCATAAACAATCATACCAATCATGGTGTGATATGGTGAGTCACGAAAATTGTATTACATTTTATGAAAAGTTTGACATGTAACATTTGTATTTGCGGGAATATGGATTAAAGTATTTTTTTTTAGTCTTAATAATTTTACTTACTTTATCTTTTAGTTCCTATAATTTAAAATATACGATTTTAATTCATATATACTTATCTTTTTCAATTATTTTTAGTTATTTTAGTTTAAGATGAATCTTTTTAGTCTCTATACTTACAAATTTTTAATCCTTTTAGTATCTATAGTTAATCTTTTTATAATGTTGCCTCTTTTGTATCGATGTGACAAATATATTAATTCAACTTTGTGTATAATATGTTGAATTTATTTTGATGAAATTATTCTAAATTAGGTTTCTCATGCCTTTTTTATACACTTATTTGTGACACCTATTGTTGAGACATTATTTTTTTATCCTCACAAAATTAAAAACTTCTACAACACAAAACAGACAATGTTACAAAAAAAAAAAAAAAAAAACAATAGACAAGATTAAAAAATTGCTTCCATTTTTCATTGTAACCCACAAACTTTGAACTTTAAGATAAGTCCTCATTTTTATAGCCCACAAGTGATAGTTTTCACCTACAAATATAAAGGTGGAGGTAAAGAATTACTACTATAGAAACCATTTTTGTGTTTGAATTTTTTTTTGTGTAGGTTTCTTTTATGCTAGTTTTTTTTTTCTCTCTTTACTCTCACAAGTTCTTAAAGATCAATGAAACTCTTGATACCATGTTAAAAACAAAACATGAAAAACAGAGATGTATGACTAAACAAAATATAGAGGTTTAGATTATAAAATTTGTAGTATTACACATAAAAAAGGACAAAAACTGATATGATATATTTAAATTATGAACTCAATTTTTCACACTTTAAAGTATTTAAAGCAAGTGCTTAAACACTAAAATTGAGTAACTCCTAACCCCTGATTAAATAAAGCAATACACTTGTTGTATATTTACTTTTTTAAAGTATAAGCAACCTTTAATCAAACTTATAAGTAAAATAAAAAATTTTAAAATATTTAATTATGAGAGTGAAAATATCTTAACCGACAACATCTATATATGTAATCTTAATGAACATAAAATTTACATTCACAAAGCAAACGACATACGGAAAAATTGTATTCTTCCTTGCTCGTGCGTATATGCTTCCACGCTTTATGAAAGCTACAGACATTGTATTTTACTTTTTTAAAGGATACTCTTCACTTTATACTAGTTAAATTCTAAAATTTACTATATTATACTCTATCATGTAAATTTTATAAAACTGGATCAAAAGTATATATTTTTAATTCTCCAAATAAAGTATTTATTACATTAATTTTTTTATATATAAAAACTAATCTTAATTAAAATTATCCTTAATTTAATAAGTAATTGACACAATAAAACATGTCATCAGTATCTGAGGAAGTTTCGAAAAAAAATTATTAACACAATCAAGGTCCATTTTCATTCATCAAATAGAAAATCTGACAACTAGCTCTATCCAAGTTGCTGAATAAATTCTAAAGAATGGATTGAGAAAGGGAAACTCAAACGTGACTAGACATGGCTGTATTATATATATAACCTTGAAGAACAGAAAGTTTTTGGCTCACAATAGATCTAAATACAGAACACAGTCACCACAGAGAGCTAGACTAATATGTGGGATATTGTAATGCGTGGCTCGTTCGCATTTGCTTCCACTAGCAGTGGAAGTATTCAACAAGGTGAGAGGTGTCCCAAAAGATGTTGAAGACATCGAAGAGGAACTGAAACGCATTCAAACTTTCATCAATGATGCCGATAAAGAAGCTGCTAGTGATGAAACTGACAAGCACCAAGCACCAAGCATGTTCTCCATAACATATACTATCGTTTAATTATTAATGCATTAACAGATTAGCTAGACCACAATATTTTCACGACTTGACAATAGTTAGTTTTCACACTTTGGTGGTACATTGAATCAGATTTGGAACTGTATTCAAACCGATCCAAATTTAAATATGGGTGGCGTGCATGATGTGCTATGAATATTGTGACAACTAATAACATTAAAAAAAATTGTAAATTTAGTACTGGAATGCACGTTTCCACGAGTTTGTGAAACCAGCGCAGCTCATGTAAGTCAAACTACCATGTTTTTGTGGACAAGTGGAAGATACTTTAATTTAGCCAGCCCAAATATATTGTGACTAAGTGATGTTTAAATAATCAAATAAATATTCCGATGACAACCTACAAGCGTGGTCCATTTAAATAATAATCGAATACAGATATACAAATTTGCTATATATCGAACTTGCTGTATAAATATTAAAGAATGGGTGGTAAGTCAAACTAAAAGTCCTTCTCTTACTACAGAATTGAATACATATAATCTTAAAGAACATAAAGTTTTGCACTCACCACAAACACACAGCGAAAAAAGAGCTACACTGAGATGGCAGAAACTGCAGTGTCCTTGGCTCGTGAGCATTTGCTTCCAAAAATTGTGGAAGCTGTGAAAATGCTTAGAGATCTCCCAAAAGAAGTTGCAGACATTACAGAAGAACTGGAGAGCTTTCAAGATTTCATAAATGATGCAGATCAAGTGGCTGAAGCTGAAGAAGATGATGGTAGGCGTGATAGAATCAAAAAAAGGGTGATGCGGTTGAGAGAAGCAGCTTTCCGCATAGAAGATATCATCGACAAATTCTCGATTCATGACGAAAACAATCCTCACGATCCTCGATGTGCAGCTTTACTCTGTGAGGCTGTTGAGTTCATCAAAACTCGGATCCTTCAACTTCAAGTAGCATATAAGATTCAGGATGTGAAATCACTTGTTTGTGCTGAAAGAGATGGCTTCCAAAAGCAATTTCCTTTACCAACAAAACCGAGTGGTTCTAGAGGAAATCAGAATGTCACATGGCACAAGCTTCGAATGGATCCTCTATTTATTGAGCAAGATGAGGTTGTGGGCTTTGAGAGTCCAAGACGTACGTTGAACAATTGGTTGATAGAGGGACGAGAAGAGCGCACTGTCATCTCTGTTGTTGGTTTGGCAGGAGTTGGAAAAACCACTCTTGCTAAGCAAGTTTTTGACAATGTCCATAACCACTTCGAGTGCCATGCATTGATCACAGTGTCTCAATCCTACACTGTAGAAGGACTCCTCAGGGATATGTTGCACCAGTTTTGTAAAGAAAAGATGGAGAATCATCCTGCAGATGTTTCTACCATGGATCGAAGATCGTTGATTGAAGAAGTCAGAAAGCAGTTGCGCAACAAGAGGTATGTTGTCATGTTTGATGACGTGTGGAATGAAAAATTTTGGGATGATGTTGAATCTGCTGTAATTGATAATAAAAATAAAAGTAGAATATTAATTACAACCAGATATGAGAAGGTTGCAGACTTCTGTAAGAAATCTTCTTTTATTGAAGTGCATAAGCTAGAAGAACCTTTAAGTGAAGAAGAATGTTTCAGATTGTTCTGTAACAAGGCATTTAAGTATGGTTCTGATGGACGTTGTCCAGAAGAACTTAAAGATATTACTCTTGAAATTGTTAGAAAGTGTAAAGGTTTACTTCTAGCAATTGTGGCCATTGGTGGTCTTTTATCTCAGAAAGATTTTTGTGCACATGAACGGATATTGTTTAGTCAAAATCTAAGTTTAGAGTTGGAGAGGAATTCTGAGTTAAACAGTATAAAAAAGATTTGAAGTTTAAGTTACTATGATTTTCCATACATTCTCAGATCATGTTTATTGTATTTTGGAATGTATCCAGAAGATTATGAAGTTAAATCTAGTAGATTGATTAGGCAATGGGTATAGGTGAAGGGTTTGTCAAATGTGAAACCGGAAAAACTTTGGAAGAAGTTGGGCAACAAGAGTTATCAAGGTTGATCCGTAGAAGTTTGGTACAAGTATCTTCATTTAGCATTGATGGCAAAGTTAAAGGATGTCGTGTTCATGACTTAATACATGACATGATCCTTAGAAAAGCTAAGGAAACAAGGTTTTGTCAGTATTTTGGTGAGCATAATGAATCAGTGTCAAGTGGGATAGTTAGACGTTTAATAATAACAATGGATTCCAATGATTTAGTTGGAATTGAAAGATCACACATTCGATAAATTCTAATTTTCACAAAGAAACTGTTATCCGAACATTTCATGGGCGAAATCCTTGCAAAATACATGCCGCTGAAGGTACTTGATTTTGAAGATTTATTTATGTTTCCTAATTTTAACAATGTTTGATCATTAAATTTTCTTGAAGCTTATTTAGGGAATTTAATTAACTTGAAGTATGTAAGCTTCCGGAATTCTATGATAGAAAGTCTTCCAAAATCCATCGGTAAGCTCAAGAACTTGGAGTTCTTGGATTTACGAGGAACAATGGTGTTTCACATACCAAAGGAAATTAGTAAGATTAGAAAACTATGTCATCTTTTGGGTGATAAAATATCTTTTGTTGCAACGAAAGAGCGTCTTGGAAGCATGACATTCCTCGAAAAGATACGCTACTCAAAGTAGATCACAACGGAGAGGTACAACTACAAGTTCTGAATATTAAGGATATGCCATCTGTGTTTGAGGATAGCATTGCTGAGTATGGAGGACAAGATCATTGGATGATCAGGCATGTGCCACGTGTACAATTTAAGTACTCTTATTTTGAAATTGTGGGGAGAAGTATGCTTATTGACCCAAGTCCGCTTACCAGTCCGAATAACCAGCAGTACGGGTGGTTACAGGTCCAATTTTTTAGGTCTCCCAAATTCATGGCCTTAGTCCGCAATTTCTATTGAGTAGCCCATTTATTAATAAGTAAATTTTATGTATTTTTACCTTTATGTATTTATATTAATTTTTATCTTATAAATATATTTATATCAATTTTTTATTTTTTTTTCTTTTATATTTTTATAGACTAAAAAAAATCTCATTGATTTTTTAATATTAATAAAAAAATATATGATTGGATTCATGGAAGGATTCGTTACCCACAAGTTTCACAGTGAAATTCAAACAAAAAAAATAGTTTATTTATTTTATGGATCAGACTTATTCCACTCATTAAAAATGTATATTTCTTTAGTCCGATCAATCTGTATACTCATCTTTAACTAGAACGAAAATATCATAAATTTCAAAAGTCTAATGATGTCTAGATTTCTACATATAAAAAAAGCTGTTTATTTTTTTTCTCTTATCAATATCTCTATGGATTGATATCCCTTGGCCATTATTATTTTCAAAAATAAAATAATGCAACTATTTTTTAATTCCTAAAGGGATTTTTTTACTTTTATATCTCTTTTTCTCCTAGTATATGCTTCATTTTCTTTTTGTATGTAATGCACACAAGTTGGAGATAAAATGATCAAATAAGTAAAATGAAATTTCAACGTATTAATTAGTAGGAGCAGTCAAAATGGTGGTCATTTTTTTATCATAATTTTTTTCCCAAATAAAATATGTTGATTGTATAGTTTTTCATACGTTTTTTTTTAACAAATTTTAAGCCATTTTATTATCAAACAAATTATTTTAAAATATTATAATAGTAAAAATTATATGTTTTATTTTCTTATATTTTTGTTTTTTATTTTTAGATAATAAAGAAGAGAAACTAAAACTAATGAATATTAGTTTGGAGATGAAACTTGTGACACCCTTACTACCCCAACACATATATTGTAATAAATTTATGAGTTCAATTTAGTCCCAATTTATTTTAAAATACTTTAATGTGTGACTTCCGCCTGTTGAGTGTCTTTTATGCATGATTTGCACTCAACTTTTGATACTCTTTTTGATAATTGTAGATATTATATATGTTATTTTACCCCCCTTAATTTAAAGAATCAAGTTATACTAAAAGAGTAGAGGAGTAGTAGCAAAATCTTAATGAATTTCCTCATTTTTTGCAGATTTTTTAGGAAGGCAGAGATCCACAGCCATAGCTGTAGATCTGGAGCTCGAGCTGTGCAAATCTAGAGAGAAATTGTGAAGGTCAGAAACTTGCAGCTATAGCTGTAGTTCTGCAGCTATAGCTGTGGAAATCTGGAATGCTCATTTTTTGGTTCCAAAGACTTGAAGCTAAAGTTGTAGGTCCATAGCTTGAGCGTTGAGGCTTGGGAGATCAAGGAAAGTCACAGAGACTCATAGCCATAGCTGTGGTTTCACAGCTATAGCTTAGGGAGTTGCTTAATCATGAAGGAGTTTTCACAACCATGGTTGTGGAGCTACAGCTGCAGTGCCAGGAGTTTCTTCACTCTGAAGGACTCTCCACAGCTATAGCTGTGGATTTACAACTGCAGCTGTGGGCGAAAAAATCCCTTTTTGCCCCTGTTTCAAAGCTCATATAAAAGGGGAAAATTGGAGAAACAGGGGGCAACACGAAACACAAAGAGAAAAACAGGATTTGGAGCACGAAGAGGAGAAAACAGGGCAAGAGTGAAGATTGGGAAGTTGGATCATTTGGGAACGAAGATCAACCCCTTCTCTTCATCTTTTAATTTGTAAATTTCCTTAAAATAAATATGATTTCATCTTCATGACTTCCACGTTCATTTAGTAATTCAACAAGATCCCTCAAAATTGAATCCTAAAGTAATTAATCTAAAACATCATTCTTCTATGTTTTATGATTAACACTTTGCATTAAGAACAATGACTTGAACAAGGTGACTAAACAAATCAAGTCTATTCCTAGAGCAAGAGATGTTTAGGTGCAAGATTCAGTTCGGGTTCTCAAAAACATTTTCCAATAGGATTCAAAAACCAAATATTCATATAACGGGTGATCAAGCCAGTATAAGCATTAAAAGTAGAATCAAGCACAAGTAATAAGAATAAAATGCATAGATAGATTTAAGAAAGAAAAGAGTTAGTAGTTACACCAGGACCAATCCTCAAAAGATTTAGCCACACATGGCCATTACAAATCAGAGGAGTAGAAGAAGAAATCACAAATTAAAAGATGAAGAGAAGGGGTTGATCTTCGTTCCCAAATGATCCAACTTCCCAATCTTCACTCTTGCCCTGTTTTCTCCTCTTCGTGCTCCAAATCCTGTTTTTCTCTTTGTGTTTCGTGTTGCCCCCTGTTTCTCCAATTTTCCCCTTTTATATGAGCTTTGAAACAGGGGCAAAAAGGGATTTTTTCGCCCACAGCTGCAGTTGTAAATCCACAGCTATAGCTGTGGAGAGTCCTTCAGAGTGAAGAAACTCCTGGCACTGCAGCTGTAGCTCCACAACCATGGTTGTGAAAACTCCTTCATGATTAAGCAACTCCCTAAGCTATAGCTGTGAAACCACAGCTATGGCTATGAGTCTCTGTGACTTTCCTTGATCTCCCAAGCCTCAACGCTCAAGCTATGGACCTACAACTTTAGCTTCAAGTCTTTGGAACCAAAAAATGAGCATTCCAGATTTCCACAGCTATAGCTGCAGAACTACAGCTATAGCTGCAAGTTTCTGACCTTCACAATTTCTCTCTAGATTTGCACAGCTCGAGCTCCAGATCTACAGCTATGGCTGTGGATCTCTGCCTTCCTAAAAAATCTGCAAAAAATGAGGAAATTCATTAAGATTTTGCTACTACTCCTCTACTCTTTTAGTATAACTTGATTCTTTAAATTAAGGGGGGTAAAATAACATATATAATATCTACAATTATCAAAAAGAGTATCAAAAGTTGAGTGCAAATCATGCATAAAAGACACTCAACAGGCGGAAGTCACACATTAAAGTATTTTAAAATAAATTGGGACTAAATTGAACTCATAAATTAAAATGGGATCAAATTAATTTTTTTTAATATTATAAGAGACTAAATTAAGATTTTAACCTTTTTTTAATTGTTTTTTTTTAAACGGTGCAATTCAATTTTAAATTTAAATTGGCTCATTATAATTTTTTTTACACACCCTAACTTGCACAACATATCACCCAGCAGTCCTTTTACATTGTAGGATATTGAGCACTTTTATTATACCAAAATCACTAATGTGGGTGACTACAACTGAATCCCATCAATCACTACGGTGTCCACCAGCTTGTGCTTCGTAGCTTGCATTGAAAAACCTGAACTCAAAAGTTTTAAAACAATAAGCAACAATAGCACTCATATCTACGGTACAAACCATATATAGAGCATTGGTGGTAGATTCATTACCTGCTAGCCATTGAGGTAATTTTGTGATGGTATGGATATGAAAGTTAGATGTTGTCCAATTCTGGCTTATCTTCCTATCTTGAATATTCCACCAACTGTTAAGTGATAACAAATGAATAAGATCTGATATAATACCACCAACAAATAAGGGAAGAACGTTCATTTAGTAATTCAACAAGATCCCTCAAAATTGAATCCTAAAGTAATTAATCTAAAACATCATTCTTCTATGTTTTATGATTAACACTTTGCATTAAGAACAATGACTTGAACAAGGTGACTAAACAAATCAAGTCTATTCCTAGAGCAAGAGATGTTTAGGTGCAAGATTCAGTTCGGGTTCTCAAAAACATTTTCCAATAGGATTCAAAAACCAAATATTCATATAACGGGTGATCAAGCCAGTATAAGCATTAAAAGTAGAATCAAGCACAAGTAATAAGAATAAAATGCATAGATAGATTTAAGAAAGAAAAGAGTTAGTAGTTACACCAGGACCAATCCTCAAAAGATTTAGCCACACATGGCCATTACAAATCAGAGGAGTAGAAGAAGAAATCACAAATTAAAAGATGAAGAGAAGGGGTTGATCTTCGTTCCCAAATGATCCAACTTCCCAATCTTCACTCTTTATGATCAACATTGAAACCCGTATGCAACTAGTCCTGAACTAAAGATCTAACGTAACTTGAAAATGTCTAAGGTACACGCACCACAAACGTCAAGCAAACCATAATCCAGAATCAACCACAAGCAAAACAAGTATCAACAAAATTAAGAACCGTGCTAAAGCAGAGTATTCACAAAAAGAACCAACAGTGTAATCACCAAAAAGAAATAGATATATAAAATAGAGTTCTGGGACTAGAACAGTTAAACAACTACAACTGAGAAACAGAAAAATTGAATGACAAAAAATAATAAAAGTAAAATGGTCCAAGGCCAGCTCCATCTGCATCCATCATGGGGCCTGGTCATCATCAGCAGCTCTGGCCTCCTCAACAGCATTAGCAGCTCCACCATCCTCAGGAGCTCCATCCCCCCCAAAGAAAGGAGCCTGGTCCCCAGGCCAACCAGTATATGCATAGTAATCAGCAGTGGATGGGAACTGGTGACCGGGGGCGGAGTGTAGGGAGAAACTCCTAAAAGCATCCAAAATGAACATCTGCCCGCGGTGGAGAGACTCCTGCTGCTGCATAAACGCGTCCATCCTGCCCTCCTGCCTCTGCATAAAGGCATCCATCCGGCCCTCCATTGCGTCAAGGCGCTGATGAATAGTGAGGGAAGGGCCTGGGGCTGGAGCCTCATCCATAGGTATGTCCTCCTGAGGCCCAGCAGCATGAATAGGCTCGGGGGCAGGGACGTTCGGCGGTGCGCGATCCTGGCAATAGGCAAAGATATATCTGCTGTCAATGGCCCTACCAGGACCCTCAAACGGAGGTGAGTGGACATCCACACCTGCTAGCTGGCATAACTGCGTGATGAGTGACGGATGTCCAAGGGCGGAGCCAGGTGCAGAGTTGGCGCAGCCAGAGATCTCTATACAGATAATGCCGCCCAGGTCCACGGTCCTCTGAGTCATAATGCAATACATGAGCATGGACCGAGACCAGTGCAGGTCAGATACATGGGAGCACGGGAGAATGTTGGCATGCACCAAGGCTGACCAGATCCTGACCACTGGAAGAAGATCCCGGCGCTTCACGTGGAGAGGCAGCTGAGATCGGTTCTTGTGGAACCCACGTCCAGGTACGCAGATAGCAACCTCTACTAGAGCGGGGTCCATCGTCTCAGTGGTGTAGTTGTTATACTCTGACTCCTCATCAGCCCTCAGCGTAGTCCCCAAAAACTGATTAATCGTCTGGGCGTCATATGGGACTCGCACACCCCTAACATAGCTAACAAATGGCGCAATGCCCTCCTCCAATCGCAGGGCATTGGCGTAGAACTCCTTGACTACTGCTATGTTGGCCGGGAGTGGGTAAGAACCGAGCGTTCCCCATCGGCGTCGGCGTAGCTCGGCCTGAAACTCAGGGGCCTCACCTGGCTCTAACTCGACTCTCCTCTCAAGAATGAACTTCTTCGCACTAACTGACTCAAAGTGCTTCTCGTTGCGCTCGGTAGCAGCCTCTACTAGAGCGGGGTCCATCGTCTCAGTGGTGTAGTTGTTATACTCTGACTCCTCATCAGCCCTCAGCGCAGTCCCCAAAAATTGATTAATCGTCTGGGCGTCATAGGGGACTCGCACACCCCTAACATAGCTAACAAATGGCGCAATGCCCTCCTCCAATCGCAGGGCATTGGCGTAGAACTCCTTGACTACTGCTATGTTGGCCGGGAGTGGGTAAGAGCCAAGCCTCTCCCACCGGCGTCGGCGTAGCTCTGCCTGAAACTCAGGGGCCTCATCTGGCTCTAACTCGACCCGTCTCTCAAGAATAAACTTCTTCGCACTGATTGACTCAAAGTGCTTCTCATTTCGTTCAGTGAGGAAGAGATCAGAATAAGGTCGAGTCTGCTTGCGAGGAGTTTGCCCAGATTTTCTTTGACGTGGGCGTTTGCTAGAAGAGGCCATCTGCAAAAATTAACAAAAGAAATTCCAGGCAGAAAGGAATGAGCATAGCCAGATAAACAGGGATGGTCAGTTCAAGTAGAGCATAAAGGAAGTTATCCTTAAACCCAAGAATAGAGAAAGAAAATTAAAACACAGCACACAAGGGGTCCAGGGGTGCTCTGCGCCGGGCATGAAACACGAACGCCAGGCGCAAAGAGTAATGAAAACTCTCTGGAGTAACTTGCGCCGGGCGCAAAACAGAATTGCGCCGGGCGTGTGACACCTAAAAAGCTCTCTGGAGCTTGTAGCGCCGGGCTCAAAACAGAATTGCGCCGGGCGCAAGTAAACTGATTTAAAAAATTGCCCCAGAACGGGCTGTTCCAAGATCAGAACAAGCCGTTCTTAAATTCGAAACGGGCCGTTCTGGAATTGGAAAAGTCCGTTCCAAATTCCGAAACGGGTCGTTCTGGACATGGAACAGACCGTTCCAAAGTCCAAAACGGGCTGTTCTGGAATTTGAACGGGCCGTTTCGAGCATCGCGCCTGGCGCGATTTCACCCCAATGGAAGTTGACAGAACCCCCATGAAATCCCAAAAACCAGAACAAAAAATGAAAAAAAAAGAAGGTGTACAGGAAAATAAAAACATGTATAACACCTACTTAAGTTCGGAGTGCTTGGAGGCGAAGGAAAAAGAAAAACGAAGGCTTGCCCTTGAGATAGAAAACGTGAGCAGAAGATGGCAATGAGAAAGGGAATAGAATGAGTTGAGCGAGTGAGAGAATGAGGGGTTGGAGGTAGAGGGGCGTGGGAGTTGAGAGGGAAGAGAGGGAAGAGAAGTTGAAAGTGAAGAGTGGGAGAGTGGGCGTGAGAGGTTAGGGGGCATCTGAAGGGTCACGCTGGGCGTGCAATTCTTCCGCGCCGGGCGCGGTATCAGTAGAATACCAAAGGTTGCCCTTATCTGATATGAAGTCGGGCGCTGCCGTTTCACGTCGGGCGTGGATAGGGTTCCAAACGTGCAAGCATTGAATGCGCCCGGCTTGGCATATGAGCGCCCGGCTTAATTAATGCTCAGACCTTCCAGTGATAAATGCGCTGTGCGCGCCGGGCTTGCCAACCCCCTGGAGCACCTAACTATTAATGCACCCAGCGCTCCAATAAATGCGTCGGGCTTGGCCGTTCCAGTAGCCATAATGAAGGTTGGGCCGGGCGCAATTAGAAATTGAGCTCGGCGTGGGTCTTGGCTGAGACTAAATGCCTCTGGTTGCGCTGGGCGTGGGTATTCCGAGCCCGGCGTGATCTAGGTTATGCAGGCTTCACATGGATTTTTCACTCTTCACACTCCTAACATATTTATCCTATATCTACCCACTCAAGCAAGTTTCATACAATCTACCCGTAACACCAAACATATCTAACGCAATATAACTAACATACATGTCACAAAACACAAAATATTCACAAAACAAGTATATTTAATTATTTTTTATTTATATATATACTTACTTTTATAATTAATAATATAATTTACTTATTTCTATTTAAAATTAATATTATGATATAATTTAAATTATTTATTATAAA